GTACGTTATCGCAGATGTATCTGCCTGCATTAGTGTGTATGCTTATTACCGTACGCTTATGATTGGCGTGTCCATGTTATGGCGCCGGCCATCTTGTCTATGTCCATAAGCATAAAATGTTTTTAGAGGAGCAGGCCGAAAAAAAGAAAAAAAAGAAAAAAGAAGCTTTTTCTATTGGACACAAACTAGCCACCCAAAAAATATCCATGCAATAACAACAAACTTCAAAGAGCGTCTGCCATAATCCTGTCATAATCGTTTAGGATATTGTAACCAATGGGAGAACAGCCAACCAACAGCCAATGCATCTAAAAAAAGAGATCATTTTTGCGGAACTTTTCTAGTACATATTACAGCTGATATCAAGACCTATTAGAATCAGGTTCTGAAAATGGCCCCTTAATGTCGTTTACTTATATAAGATCGATTTTTTGAAAAAGACTGATATCTCACTAACGGCTTCTGGTCAGAGAACACTGAATATATATTCTAAAAGGTCTTGATATCAGCTATAATATGTACTAGAAAAAGTTCCGCAAAAATGAGTCTCTTTTGTTAATTTCAAGTGCATTGGTGAATACCCAACTGGCTTCTGATTGTATGAGTCATCGTCGTGTGTCTACGTACTAGATAACAAAATCAAAGGGTCCCAGTAAAGTCGACTTTTCTCAGCAAGGAAAAAAACGGCCCTGTAACTTTTTTCCTAGCCTTATGATGAATAAAATGAAGTAAAAATATCGGCTTAATATTCAAGCTAGCGAGACTTGAAGCTTTTGCAACACACTCTAGTCGATTGCTTCAAACGGTTGTTCAGGCCAAAAAATCTAACTTCCTAGCATCTCTTAACAGTCTCACATAATTTTCAAATTCATATTGTTAGATGCAGTTTTACACGCTGTATTCGAAAAAAGCCTTTCGAGCTTGTAAAACAATAGGAAAGATCCAAAACGCGAATTTCTTTGAAAATGACGCGTATTTTGCTTAGTATGCAAAAAAACGAGTTTTCTCGATCTTTTAAGCCTAGGAAGGGGGTTTTAATTTTTCTCATATATACAGTTTTGTAGAGCTCTATCGAACCATATATAAACGAAGCGAAAAAAATTTGCTCGACTTTTGAATTAGATGCACCTTAAATCGGGGTGCTTTGCTCTTTACGAAAACTCCTTCGTTAAGCGACTTCATAAAAAAGATTTTCTTCCTCATCCGAAAAAGGAGTTAATTACTTACCTGCATTGACGAACACCTATTCGCAACAGGACATTGTAATCGTTTCTTACAAGGCAAATAAGTTTTCTTTGTGCGATAGAGTGTTCGCTAAGTGACTTCGCAAATAGGTTTTTTTTGTTGTTGTTTTTTTATAAGCAAAGACCTGTTCGTAAATACACGGGTTCGTTATACGAAGACCCCTTCGCAAATAGACTTCTCTTATCGGTCAAGCAAGTACAAAAGAATTGAGGTTTACTTGACGAAGACCGCTTCGCAACTTGATATGTTTTCTTTGAACTTTTATACTAGAAAATAAAGGGTTTTTATTACCGAGCAGTTCTTTGCAAATAGTCTTCGTAAATAGAAAATTATTTTTTATCATTCGTCGAGTCAATAACAGTTTCAGTTTACAACATACCTTTTCGTAAATGGTTACCTTCTATTACCGAAGACCTGGTGGTTAAAAGAGACAATTCTCATTTACGAAGGGGCCTTCGCAAACGATAGGTGCCCGTTGATGAACACGTTTTCGCAAAGGAAGCCTCTATCCTGTCAAATAGCGTATACCAAGCAGATGAATATCTGGTTTGCGAAAACCCCTTCGTAAATGAGAATTGTCTCTTAATCACCAGGTCTGCGGTAATAGAAGGTAACCATTTACGAAAAGGTGTGTTGTAAACTGGAATTGTGAGAGATGTCAGAGTTATTGCAATCCAGCTATTCTACAGAATTCTATAGAATTCTACGCTAGTACATATACATTTATCACTAACCAAGTTTGAGTCAAGCGGAAATGTATAGACTTCTATAGAATTCTGTACATTTCCTAGATTTCTGTTTTGAGAATAACTCGGACTTATCATGTTTCAGCTGTGGAAAAGTTGTTGTATAATTCATAGGGAAAATGTAGAATTCTATGGAATTCTGCAGAATGTCTGAAATGTAGGAATTCTGCCATTGCTGGGAATTGTTATTGATTCTGAGGAATCCAAACAGTAATATATGAATTCTCTAGAGAAATATATGAAATGCACATTTTAACTCTAAATATTTTGTATTCAAAATACTGTATTGATTGAGTAGGTAAAAACAGCAGGACTGTCAGACAAATCACAAATAAGCCATTTTCTTTGGCTTAACGAACTCCTCTTCGACAATAGACTTCGTAAAATGGTCTTTTTTTTGTAAACATAGAGGGGTTTAGTAAATAGGAACTTATTTTACAATCGGAAATGGACTTTTAGATATGGCTAAATTTGTAAAATGTCGTGAAGTTTTGAACATTATTCGTTCAAATTCGTACTCAAAATTGCCACAATTACCACCAGATATTAAAACTAACACGATTTACGTTTTGCAACTGAACGACAATACTAAAGGTATGAAAGTTGTCAGGCTCATTTCTAAAACCACGGTAATGTATGTGTTTTTCGTCTATAGATGACTGGAAATGCGATAAGTTCAAGTGGACGTACTACGGCGAATCTCGTCCAAGTCAAGCTAAAATCCAAAAATTTGAAAGTCATTATATGGTATCGGAAGACGAATCAAACAGATTGCTTCCTTTACAGCAAAAGTTTCGAAAAAAAGTTTTTATTTCATGTGATAACCCATTAGTTGTAGTAGTTCATTATATAGGTAAGTAAAAACGCTGTTGAACTAATAATTAGCATTGAGCGTTGCTCTGTATTTTATAGGTGATCTAACAAAAGCCATTCTTCGTGACACACCAGTAACTCCAAAGTCAATCGTACGTTTAATTGATCAACGTGTAAAATATCAAGAACCATCAACAGTTTATCGTGAACTAATCTCATCAGCAGTGGGTGTTTCCACAGTGAAAAATCCACGACAAGTACGTTACCGTCGGGAAATAGAATTACAGAAACTTCACTTAACAAGTGATGAAATATATTCCTGTTATCAAATCGGAGTCAACGATAATAATTTTCTACAAAAGATGATTTTACTGCCTCGTCTTGTCCTTATTTGTGCACATCGGGAAGCAATTAAATTATTCAACAATTTATTAAAAATAACAACAACACCCTAGCTGTTATCATACGATACCACTTTCAATATAACGGATAGCTACATTAGTTCTTTAGTCTTTCGTCACAACGCATTTCATGAATATCCATCGATTGTATTATGTTATATTATTCACGAGAGCAAACAACAGCAATGCCACATTGAACTTGTTCGATTCATTAAAGATCAATGTCCGGAATTAGATAAAAAATCGATAATTGTGACAGATAATGAGAAGGCTTTTAAGAACTGTTTTGCAAGTGAATTTCCAAACATGATCCAGTTAAGGTGTTGGAATCATCTTTTCAAGAACATATTTCGACGTACCACAAAGTACCTAAAATCAAATAAGACTAATGAACCACAGACAGCCTCATCCGGTAAGAATATACATACACATATTTCTGAGTTATTTTTCAGACGTGCGCGATTACAATTACAAAATGTAAAGTTCAGACATTAAAGTTCATAATTCTAGAATTCTTAATTCTACAGGTAATAGCAATGTCTGAACTTTACATTTTGTAATTGTAATCGCGCAGCCCTCTTATTTTTTATCTCAATTCTTTTTTTCCATATTTAGGTGAGAACTTACAACCGACGACAACAACTGATAAACCCCCAGTTGAAAATGACGAAGAATTAATGACTGATGATATGGTGTTCTACATGATGAACGAAAACTTGAATGATGAACATGATTATTGTAAACCAATGGTAAATGACGTCGAATTTGATATAATCATATCCATTCCAGAATCCAAAAAGCAAATGGCCCGTCGATATGTCAATGATTTAAAATTTTTATTATCTCAGAATTCATCTATTGAATTTGAAATTGAATTATCAACTTTGTTAAAAACTTGGACAGATGATTTTATTGAATACTTCAATAAGTATATTTATCCAGATATTAACGAATTAGGTAAGCCTTGATTTCCTGACATTAATTCACATAAAATTCTTTGGGTTTTGACTCCGATTTCATCCTTTTTTCAGCTCAACTCACTTAATAGTCTCCCATTTGCGAACACCTCATCGTAAAACTGTCAGCTGTTCTATCTTTTAAATTAGGTTTCCTATTAGCGAAATCTCTTTACCAAGTAGTCTTAGTAAAGAAGTTATTCGTCCTTGTTTGTAACCCAAATATTCCTTTACAAAGTTGATTTACGAAAGCGTGTTTGGAAAAAGAAAAAAAGATTGATTTGCCTTATTTACCCAAAAAACTTTTCTGTTTGCAAATGGCTTCCCTTTCTTGGTAAAAAAAGGTACTCAGTTAGCGAATAAGCTTTGATTAAGAACCACGTCCCTTGTTTTTGGATTAAAAAATTCCATCATAAAGTTACTTTACCAAGAGGTGTTCGTAAAAGGCTCACTCCTTTTTTTTTTGAATGAAAACAAACTCTGTTTGCGAAGCGTATTACCGAACACCCCTTCGCTAAAGGATAACATTCAATTTCACGTATAACTCTAGAGAAAAATTTTGACCCTTTGTGAGAGGAACTATGATTAACGAAGACGTGTTCTAAGAGTCTTCGTTAAGGTCAAATTGAATGTTATCTTTTAGCGAAGGGGTGTTCGGTAATACGCTTCGCAAACAGAGTTTGTTTTCATTCAAAAAACCGGAGTGAGCCTTTTACGAACACCTCTTGGTAAAGTAACTTTATGATGGAATTTTTTAATCCAAAAACAAGGGACGTGGTTCTTAACCAAAGCTTATTCGCTAACAGAATACCTTTTTTTACCAAGAAAGGGAAGCCATTTGCAAACAGAAAATTTTTCTGGGTAAATAAGGCAAATCAATCTTTTTTAAGATCAAAACGGGATTATCTTTACAAAAACCCGTAACGAATAGTATTACTCTAGGTAGTTACTCTTTTCCACTTTTGAGTTAAGCCATGACTTTCTCTTTCCGATGTCTGTTATCGAAGTCGCTCAAAACCAAGTGCTTTGGATGGAAAATAAATTTTCTTTAGCGAGCTTTCGTTTGCGATCAGGTATTTGTTAAGGCAGTAGAGTCCTCATTTTTGTTTTTTTTACTTTATTTGCGAAGTCGCTTTGCAAAGGTGTGTTGACAAGAAAAAATTCATTTATTTTCTTTTATTGTGTTGAAAATCGTTCTTTTTGGTTTTAGGCATTTGGACAGTTAAAGAAAAAAATATTGAACATTTATTTAATGATTCTATTACGAGTAATATGATTGAAGGTGTAAACTTTGTATACAAGAGTGTTACTGAATGGAAGATGATAACTTTGGATCGAGCTGTGATAATCTTCAATTATTTACAAGGTTACTATATTAATGAAGTTCAACGTGGTTATTGTGGTCTCGGTAAGAAAAATCTCTACTGATCTTCTGATGAAATCCTGCGTCTATTTTTTTTATTTTGCAGGCGGGTATACACTAAAAGAAGAATACGCGAAGTTAAAAATGGACAAATCATTATTGGTTTTACTTCAAAGTTATGATCCACATGAAATTGTGCAGCAAGTTAAACAATTGGAGCTAGATTTTAAATCTCCCGATGGATCAGATAGTGGCAATCTTAATAAAACACCATCGAGACCGAAGCCATTATCACAACAAGAACTTGCTTTACAGTTAGTCAATAGTGAACGGGTAAAGTTCATAGAGAACTTAGGTATGTTTCAAGCTTGCATTTAATCTCTAATTTACTTAGTACATTTTATGTTCTTTAATAGGGATCTTCACGGTGGAAAATATGTCACGATCTCAAGTACATAACGTTGATATTAAACATTATCCAGCATTTAATTGTACATGTGAATTATCCAAGAAAAATAAAAAAATTAACTGTGTTCATATATTAGCTGTTAAACGTAAAATGAATATATCTCTGACAACAGTTCAAGTGAAACAGAACTGTGGGCTGCTGAGAAAAGCTCGGAATAAAGAAGCTGGAATTGGAATAACTGGACGAAAAAAGCCAAACGAATGGGATAAAGAAAAGGTAATCTAAAAGGTGACATTCCTATCTTCCAGTCTTTTTTACCTTAATGTTTCTTTTCCTTTTATTAGATGAATGGAACTATAGTTTCAACGCACAAAGGGGTGAAGATTTCAGCGAACACCACGCCAAAAGTATATTAAATTTTGAGAAATACCTTTTTTTTCTATTATTTTCGTTATTTGTATTTTTCCTTTAGCGTGTTCTATCTACATCTGATCCAGACACGATTATTCAGCCAGCTCCTCCACCTAAAGTAAATTGTAAACATTGTAAATTCCTATATAGTATTTCTTTCTTTGCCTTTTTAGCGATTAGCGATGACTGATATGACGAACACTCAACCAGTTTGTGTTTTTTTGCGTTAATTATTCTTATATATAATAAAAGTCAGCTTTTTTTGCTGAATATTCCTCAAACTGGTATATGATTATTCTACAATTAAGGCTTCTTAACGCCTGGTATAAGCTTGTTAACATTAAATGTTTTCTCTTTGACGGAGTCGCATGCAAAGAAGTGTTCTTAATGACCTGACCTTCCCACCCTGCGAAAGAGCCGTCTTTCTGTAGTTCGCCTCCTAGAAAACCCCAAAACAGAGTTTTCAAATCCTTTTCAATGGTTCTTCATTTGTATGTTAATTTCTGCAACATAGCTACAAGGACCAAGCTGATTCAACTTCTCCAAATGCTTTTGATTTTCAGCGCCATCTACCACAGCAAGAGTTTGAACAATTGAAAGCGATTTCTGCAAAACATTCACTTCCTTTCTGTGTGCGACGTGTGAGCAGCCAAATTAATCAATTCATAGCTTAGAAGTCTATTATTTACTTAAAACGTTTCCGCCAATACAAAAACTTTCTTTTTCTTTTTTCTTTTTCTTTTTTCTTTTTTTCGGCTTGCTCCTTTTTAGACGCTAGACTTTTAATCTCTGGGATAATGATTCATCGTTGATACACGCTACACTTTTAACTTTTGCACGGGATAATGAAAGCAGAATGACTGCAGATATCAAGTTACTTGATAGAATAATAACCAAAGACTGTTAATGACCCGTTTTTGATCGTTTTTTAGCCGAGATAAGGAGTGATATGAGAACAAATGCCTTAATTTCGGCTCTTTGAACCCACTTATAACTTGGATTTTACAGTTATCTTTGAATGGCAATGTACTGAACGATGTAGCAAAGCGGAATGTACGCAGATATGAAATATGTCGTGCTCTTATTATCAATAGGAAAATTCGATCTTATCGGTGAGATTTATCCTGTTCAGACCCAAAGAGGACCCATTCAGTTACAAAATACACATACAAATTATATAAAAATACCAAAATCTATTCTTTATTAATCACTGACACACATATACAAAGTAGCAAAACGAAAATTAAATTGAAAGATGCTTTTTATGCGTAAATAAATCGTTATCCGAATGCTTGTTCTGTATGTCTTTGATGACTGGTCCCACCAGTGAAGATATTCTGAGTAGCTCAGTTTGTAGAGAATTTTACGGGCTATTAGCTGCTAGAAGTCCTCGAGCATCAATTGATCTATGTCCTCCTTCATCCATTAGATGGTTGAACGCAGTGACAATAGCCGCATAATTATTCTTGATAGCGTCAATGGAAAACCACCTACTGTCCCATCTCGTCTGTGCCCATAGTTTGAGATTTGACATAGTATCTAAGTATGAAAAGAAACTAAAAGTGAAAGAATTCATAGAAATTCTTTGAACAGCTTACCAATTTGAAGTGATCGCTGAGCATTACGAAAATATTCATTGGTGACACTTGAGCAAGAAAAATATTCGTGTATTTTTGATAAGATCGCCATAAATTCGTCAATATAGGACACAACTTTGCAGACGTCGCCGATAACCAGATTAAGACGATGTACGAAGCAGTGAATATAAATTCCTTTAGGCATATAATTCTGTCGCATTAGAGTCTGAACACCAGCATGCTTGCTCATGACGCTCGCTCTAAGATATGCAAACGTAAAAATTCTTTCTAGAATATTCTTTTTACAATAAGAGGAACATACCCGTCGTAACATTGAGCGATACAATTGTAAAGTGGGATTTCTAGCTCGTTCAAAAATTCGAATAATTTCTCTGACAGCGTCAACGCGTCGAATTGATCAAGTTTAATAAATCCCATAAAATGTTCATGTATTTCGTTCTCGTCATCAACATAACGAAGAACAACCGACATTTGTTCTTTACCACTAATATCTCTCGATTCATCAGCCATCAGAACGAATAGTTGATTTTTTTTTTGAGAAAATATTTGAATAAAGCGTCTTTGCTATACATAACGTATTCTTTTCTGCTACTTACCTCGACGGAGATTTTTCGGCGCACTTGATTAGCTAATATTTTTAGAATTTCATTTTGGATGGTTGGTGATAAATACGTAGCATTTGAGCTTGAGTCGTTCAGGATTGATTTTACTAGTGGATCAGTTGATGATGCCCACTGTAATAATTCGATAAAATTGCCACGGTTTCTTGACCGGAAAGTGATGAAGACGACATGTTAGTATCAAGTGTTACGTGCAGTTTTTAAAAAGTACTCACTCTTCATTTTCCATATGTCCTCTTAAGGCGATCATCTGGCGGGCACAAAATAAAACTGTCGAACAGATTTTCATCAGTTTTTCTCGGTTTTGTTTGATCAGTTCAGTTCTAGATTTATCAATCAGGTTAACTACACTTGTATTTAATTGTAAACGCTTTTTGTATTCATCGTGGTTTTTTGTTGCTATGATGTGAGGAGTGCTTTTTACGTGTTTATCAAAACCACGATCGTTTTCAAGTGCACGTTTCCATCCTTGGAAGCCCGTAATGAAAGCATCGTTTTGAAAGCGTTTTATTTGAATCGATTCACCGAAATGACGACAATAATAACAATATGCAGAGTCATTCTTAATGGAATATTCAAGCCATGGACGGTTGTGGTACCATTTTGATTGAAACGAGCGATTCTCTCCATTGGTAGGATAAGAAGACAAAACAGGTCGAGCTGGTAAATGTTCAGCAGAGTCGCTGAGATCGCATGATGAATCATTGCAGTTAGTAACCTCTTTACATCCTACTACTGACGCTGACGATGACGTCGAAGCCGTTTGAGTTTCATTTGTGAGGACAATGCATGTGTCCGTAGTTGTTAATTATTCACATTACATTAAGACGACATACAACAGAACAAAATTGTTCTTTTTCTCTCCTCTTGAATATTGTTTATCGTAGAGAATATTACAACTAGTTCTTTCCATTGTGTTTACAGAAACAAAAATTGCTCAAAAAAGCTAACAGTAATATCGTATTATAACGTACAGCAAAATATTTCTGGGGTGGGCTGAGCCCCCCCCCCCCGGGGGCGCCCCCCCCCCCCCCGGGGGGCCGGGCAGGGGGAGGGGGGGCTTGGACGGGGGGGCTGAGGAGGAGTGGGGNGGGGGGTGTGCCCCCCCCCCCCCCCCCCCCGGGGGCCCCCCACCCCATCCCCCCCAATAAACCCTAATAAACCCCCCCCAAAAAAATACGGGGGGGGGCCGGCCCCCCCCCCCCCCCCCCCCCCCCCCCCCCCAGTGATTACGCCACTAGGCATATGTGGATAAACACGCTCTTGAAGAATTCACTTGATTCATCCTTTTTTAAGACATTTCCGAAAAAACCTCTTAATACATTCACAGACATTATATGGCCACTTGCGTATAGACCATTGAAGATGATATTCACTAACACTTGAGGGAATAACATGAAGATTAAATGATAATCTTTCTGTTTTAATCGATGAGTCAGTTCTATTTTTGCTTGACGACGAATTTGTTTAACATTGTACAATGTTAAAAAGCCACATACAATCATTGACACAGGCATTAGAAATCCGGATATGATAAGATTATGGATGCTGATAAACACGCCGTAGACAGGTGATGAGAAAAAACAGCATACACCTTTGATGAGGTCACTGTAAACAAGACTGTGTATTAAAATGAGAAACCAGAGCAACGCTACAGTCGATATTAGGTACTTGTCGACTTTTAACGAACTAAATTATCGACGTTTGACACTAGATGATGATATGTCATACCGTTCAATACAGGCAAGCAATATGTAACTTTGTGACAGGAAACCAAAGACGTTGATCGAATAGTTGCTTATTTTGCATACAGTAAATGAGAAGTTAAATGGATGAATCTGATAACCGTAATCGAGAATATTTGACAAAAGGCCGATATTGACTAGAAAGATGTTAAGGATAACATGCAGCCATTGCACAACTTCAATCATTGTGCAGAATATGGGAAAGAACAGCGAAGTTGATTTTTGCAGTTCGTCTGCAAAGATTAAGTTCGTGTGTTCGATTCTAGCTTCGTGCAAAGATTGATTTTGTGTTTTGATAGTTTATATATATATAAACTATCAAAGACGAACTGCAAAAATCAACTTCGCTGTTCTTTCCTGTTGTTTTATAAACAGGCAGACAGATAGAACGATAGATATATGTTTCTCTCTGTTTGTGACGTGTCATAGACTTCCATTTTATCGCCAATAGACATTCGCCATATTGGCGATTGGCGAATGTCCACACGACAAGAGAATGTCACGGCTTCTATTAAAAAAAGAATTTGCTCTAGGGGACCTAAGGAACAGGCGTTAGAGCAAAAATACCGAGACCGACATTATTTATGGTACACAAGTTATATGAGAAACGTTTCTAGCTTATGACTTTCTTACCAGATGTCAATCAGTCACCTTTTCACCGCCCCTGGAAACATTTTAGCAAAAAAGCTCTCCACGCGTTAAACGACCTTTGCTCAAAATATTTGCATTATTCCACCTCTTTCACCTAGACCAAATATCAACTATTACACACCGTTCGATAGAGAATGTCACGAACTACACAATAATATATAACATAGCCTTAGGAAAATGTAACTGGGTAGTCTAAGATTCGAAATACTCGGTAGCATCTCAGCGAATAGTGGGTCACCGTTGTTCATGTTTATGAATACTGTTTTGAACAGCCCGAAGATTTTTCTATCAGATGAGGTGCATATCGTCGTTTCATGGAAAAAGTTGATAATAAGTCCCACAAACTATGCATATTTCCAAGTCTTTCAGCCCAAGTACTTGAGCAAGTAATGTCCATAGTACTTGAGATTTTCCGCAAGTATCCAAGTACTTGGCCTCAAGCACATTCATTAGGGTTTGGCGACGGGGTTTTTTGGAAATATATTAAGTACCTTTTTTTCTGTATGTTTAATCATAAATCAACCAACATTTCTATTTTATAAAAACTTTTCATAAATACGCGTGTTTAGAAGTTTTTCAAAGTGTGATATAGTTCAAAGCAAGGTACATCACATAA